AGCGCGTCACTTCCAACATTGATCTCACTCGTGCCACGATCACCCCGACAGCCCGCTCCACAATGGATTTTTCTTCGGGGCTATCAGCATGAGTAAACTGCATCTCCACTCCTTGCATAGCACAGAACTCCTTGAACTCGGTGCTCACGAATTCTCCACCTCCATCAGCATGAAACACTAGGATCTTGTACTCCTTGTCTTGTTTGTCTAGCTTCAGCATCAGGCAGCGTAGATGTCTGCTGGCATCCGCCTTGGACTTCAACAGAAACACCCATCTAAATCGCGAGAACTCGTCCATCACCAACAAGAACATCGTTGACGTGTCCACGGCAATCTCGCTGATTGAGCACAGGTCCGCTCAGATCTTCTCCAATGGCTTCGTTGCACGGCGGGGATTCCGATGATAAGTCATCCTTTTCATCTTAGACTCAACACATGGAATACAGTCATAGAGGTTCAGGTCTTTCATGTTCACCTTAACTCCAAACTCAACGTTGTTCATCACCATCTGCTTGATGGTGTCCATGCTCACGTGGTTCAGGCGCGAATGGAGCAGTTCCATACCGCTTGGCACATCGGTCCGCTTCTGGACGCCCAGTACCAGTTGCTGATGGCGCTGCACCCGCATGCGGTACAGGCCATCACGCAGCACAAACTTCAACTGCAGGTTGGGCTTCATCAGCCACGTTACTAACTGGTCGTCCGACATGACCAACTTGAACCCACACTTGAACTGCATGTACGTCTGGGACATCAAGTTCACCTTGGTTCCAGCTGAATAGCGCACTTCATCCAGTAGACGCATCTCCACCAGTCCAGTCAATTCATTCAAAACAGGCAGCAGGACGGATCCAGCGATACCAACACGCTCGCAAGTGCCGGTAGCTCCTTCGAGAAATTCTGCATGTTGTAGTTCCTTCACGTTGTGCAGTAGTTGTAGCTCACCAGTAACGTTTATCCACTCGATCTCTTCGGCCGGCACCGCTTCAGCGCCACCATTAGCCACAGTCAACACGCGACGAACAATAGGTAGGCCACTACCTCCACGTTCATTTTCATCCTCATTGTCCGGCGGCGATGTCGGTGAGTACTCAATCGACTCGTCTTCTCGTTGCGTGTCGCGTGCACGTGCGAGTCGCTCTTCAACATCTCGACCAACAAGAGCAGTAAGTTCATGTCGAGTATATATCTTTGAGTAGCTATGAGCCTCCTTGTTTCTGGTTCACACGCACAGGATGCGTGTCGACGATATCCGCTTGGGGGCGTTCAGCACTCGAGTCTTGATTGACAGTACGGCTACTGCTCTCGGTGTCGACCGCACGCTCAACACGACGCAACACTGCGGTTGCCATGGAGCGAATCTTTGCTGAGTTCGTCGACTGACGCTTCGGATATTCCTTCCACCAGTGCCCACGCTTGTGACACGATTTACACTCAGTCGTGCGCTTCAACTCCTCAATCGCTGTGCGTCTCTTTCTCACGTCTTCTTCACTGCGCTTCTTTTTGGAGTTGCCTTGGCCGTTGTTACCACTGTGGCGGCGCTTACCACCTTGCTGTTGTCTGTTATTGCCTTGGTTCTGCTGGTTGCCACCAGCACCGTGGTGAGTCACGACGTTCACTTGGCGCTGAATACCACGTCCATCATCATGGCTACCACGATCTCGATGTTCTTGAGCAGTTCGTTCGGCGACGAGTAGAAGGTTGACGGAATCTTGCACACGTTGGTCACGGTCGTAACCTCCACGTAAACGAGACACACGCTGCGTGTGCTCATTAGCAATCGATGGGTACACATTCACTGCATGTGACAACACAATGCTAGCCATCTCTCCTGCACGGAGCGATACGTCCATGCGCTCCAGCTCGCGTCGCATGCGCTGAAGATCGCTAACGTAGTCCATCACGCCCTCGCCCTGCCTCAGGCGGCGTGAGTACATGTCCTGCTTCAAGTACACTGAGTTGGTGGCCTGCAAGCCATCGTAGGTGCGAAGCAGCGCTGTCCATAGCTGGGCGGGACGCGCGCTCTCAATGTCGCTCTTGAAGCTATCCAACAGGTCGCCGTGAAGCGACAACACGACCTCCGTGTGGGCCTTGCGCTCACGCGTCTCGTAACAGTTCTTCCATTCCTGGCTGCAGTTGGCACGCGCTTGGTCCTACTCCTCACGGCCTTGGACCAGCTGCAGGAGGCCCTGCCAGTGAAAGATCGTCTGCATCTCTGTCTTCCAGCGACTCCAGTTCTCCATCTTGCCGTCGAACTTCGTCGAGGCCAGCTGGATCTTGCTCATCTGCCACGTGCCCATCGTGTCGCTCTTGGTGGTCGTGGCGTCCGACGTCCTCGTGCCGGGCTCGTAAGCACTAGGGGAGGGGCTTCGAGGATCGAACGGCGCGTTCAAGCTTGTGCCGTACGGGGTGAGCGATGCTGTGAGCTCAGCGTCCAAGTTTCTTTGTGGTCTGGGAGAGGGGAGGCAGATTTCTCGGACGGGTCGCCTGTCAGGTTGATTTTCACCAACTTGCTGTGGGCCAGTCTGGACCGCACCTAGTGCGCGAACAACGGCGGTCGCAATCGCCTGTACGAGCGTCTCGTCTGCCGAGACTGGCACTGGCTGCTGCTCTGCTGCAGAGCTATCAGAACGTCCTTCACTCTCCGAGACTCGCGCCCGCGTTGGGCTCATAACCTGTGAGTGTGCGTGGTAGCTATTGTTTCGCGTGCTAACCATACTCAAACACTAACTGAGGATTGCTGGGCAGAAGGCCTAGCAGGAGGGCACGA